GCGAATTGATGTTGTTAAGTACATTGATATTGATATGTGTTGCTAAGGAATATTTAAGTTAGCTTAAGATGATCCCTTAGAACACCTTGAACATAGACGTTAAGTGAAATGCTCCCTTGTATTCGTCTATATTGATCTTGCAAAGATATTGAAACTTTAGGGTATACGCAAATGCTTCTTTCTACGAGTAAATTGATTACTCACCCTAGTGGTTTGGGTTGTTTTACAGGTAAGGTGACACACCCCAACCCAATTTACACTATTTAATAAATTGAACAAATTGGAATGCATCCAACCATCTGCATTAACCTCATTCATACATGACATCATCCTACATTAGAGTACCTGCTTAACAATTTACAATTAAAGATAATTTATAAATCCACCTCGCAAGTTCTAAGAAAACTAAACAAATAACTTTAAGTCATACTCTTAAGTTCTACTACAATATTTACATTTTATACAAAAGACGTTCCATTGTTCTTTTCCCCATTTACACATAAGATTCTAGACTTGGCAGTAGCAACCCAACCTGATACCTGAAAAAAAAAAATTTATGGAAAGAATGAGCTTAAAGCCCAGTGAATGCAACACTAACATATCAGAGTAATATAAACAAATATTATCTGATAACTTCAATTAAACTTTATTTACATATTACAAGCATTAAAATATAGTACTCTCCTTCTAGGCCAGAGTATGGACCTTATATAATATAGTACTCTCCTTCTAGGCCAGAGTATGGACCTTATTTAAATATAGTACTCTCCTTCTTGGCCAGAGTATAGACCTTATTTAATGTAGTACTCTCCTTCCAGGCCAGAGTACGGACCTTATTTAATATATTCATATTATATCAACAATTATCATTTCATATAAACATTCTCAATACATCAATTATCACTTTCAATATAAGACTTCCAGTGAATACACTCACCTTGGCTACTTTTCAAATTATTTAATTGTCCTTCCGTATGGTTGTACCTCCCGTCTCCTTCTCCTTGCCTATACAACATTATAACCAAGTTATATTTATTTTCTAAAACGAAACAACACATAGCCATCATGCTTGTACTAAATCTCAAATCTGATACAAAATTGTAGGTAAAATCCCAATCATACATGTATAGATTTAATTCCAACTAAAATAATTCAAATGGAATTATAATTGTATTCATTCCCACCAGGTAATTAAATTAAATTAGTAAGAATGGAAAAATGAAATCTATGCTAAAAACAATGAATTGAATTCAAAACTAAATAAAGAATTCTTACAAAAGAATTTAAAAGAAAAACAAGCTTCCTTACCAGCACAGTCGCTCCACTAGATTCCTATTTAACTTTGTTTTGCTTTTCTTTTCTTAATCTTTTTCTTTTGATTGCCCTCTGTTTTTCCCTTCCTTTCTTATTCAAACTCCAGTAGTTAAATCAGATGAGGTTGTCCGAATTTTAGGAGCTTCTAAAGGAAACTTTTGGAAAAAATTCTATTTTCGACACACATACCTATCCATATAGATATAGATGTAGTTGTAGGTGTGGTGCTGGCAGCTTATAAACTTATGTGCTGGCAGCCCATTTCTTTCTTTTCTTTCTATCCATGAACATAATTAAATTACCTGCTTGAGGCGGTCAAATAATCTTTTTACATGACATTTTGTATATGTGTAAATTTACATACATACGTGTAATGTGCATATGCTTTGTGTTGGCAAGAACAATTCTTGCTAATATTGGATTAATATATATATATGGTAAAAGTGATCAGCAAGACTACCAAAGAAGCTTCTCAATTGAACCCATATAAAAATTGTTTTAGTAGTACCTAACTAACACATACACTTACCACACACACCTCACCCGGCCACCTATGCACCTTTGTCCTATGTCCTTATTATCTAACTTTGTAATCTACATTCTTTTCCATAATAATAGGTATGACATATGGGTTGGTGGTGCTGGAAACTTCTTTATATATATAACTATATTATTATACTACTTATAACATATATATATATATATATATATATGGCACCACCACAAATAAATTTCATGATAACTCCCCATGGTCACAATTTAATAAACTTTAATTGAATACCACACTCATGAATAATATCTCAAATATGTGCAAACAAATCTAAGTGCCATGTAAAATATTCACATATAAATCATGTTGAATCAAAACTTAAATCATGCTAATGAAATTAACTTTTGTATCGGGGTTTTACAATTCTCCCCTCCTTAATTAATTTCGTCCTCGAAATTAAAATGTATAAAACATACCGACCAAGTACGGATATTTCATGCTCATTGTTTCCTCACTTTCCCAAGTCGCTTCTTCAACTGTGTGACCTCTCCACAATACATTTACCAGTGATATAGTTTTATTCTGTAGCACCTATTTCTGGCGATCCAAAATCTGTACCGGTTCCTTTACATACGTCAAATCTTCCTTCAACTCTATCGGTTCCATAACTAAAACATGAGATGGATCTGATATATACTTCTGAAGCATAGACACATGGAAAATGTTATGTAATCTTGATAACTCTTCTGGTAATTCTAACCGATATGCTACTGCTCCTATCCATTCCAAAATTTTGTAAGGTCCTGGGACTTAATTTACCTTCTTTCTAAACCTCATAATACCCTTCCAAGGAGAAATATGAAGAAAAACAAAATCACCAACTCAAACTCCAAATCCCTTCTTTTTCGCACATCAACGTAACTTTTTTGTCTATCCTGTGCTACTATCATACGCTGCTGAATTATCTTCACTTTTTCTGTTGTAAGTTTAATCAATTCTGGACCCAATAACTTTCTTTCACCCACTTCACCCCAACACAATGGAGTTCTACATTTCCTCCCATACAATGCTTCATATGGTGCCATCCCAATAGTAGACTGATAACTATTATTATAAGCAAATTCAATCAACGGTAAATAATCATCCCAACTACCTTTGAAATCCAACACACAAGCTCTCAACATATCTTCCAAAATCTGAATAGTTCGTTCTGACTGCCCATCCGTCTGCGGGTGAAAAGCTATACTGAACTTCAAAGAAGCTTTCATGGCTTCTTGCAAACTACACCAAAATCTAGAAGTGAGCTTCGGATCCCTATCACAAACAATAGAAATTGGAGCCCCATGCAAACATATGATCTCATCAACATACAAACGAGCATATTCCTTTGTGGTATAAGTAGTTTTTACTGCCAAAAAATGAGCTGATTTCGTTAATCTATCAACTATCACCCAAATGGAGTTATGTCCCCGTTTTGATCTTGGAAGTCTCGTCACAAAATCCATTGTTACATGCTCCCATTTCCACTGTGGAACTGGTAACAGTTGCAACAACCCTGCTGGTTTTTGATGTTCAGCTCTCACTCGTTGACATATCAAACACTTTGCTACAAATTCTGCAATTTCACGCTTCATATTGTTCCACCAATAGTATTCTTTCAAATCCCTGTACATTTTAGTACTCCCCGGATGCATAGCATATATAGAACTGTGGGGTTCATCTAAAATATCTTTCTTCACAGAAACATCATTTGGAACACAAATTTGACTTTTAAAATACAAAATCCCATCATCCCTAACTGTAAATTCAGTTGGCATACCTTCTTGAGCTTCTCTTCTTTTCTTATCCAGGAATGCATCATGAATTTGCACCCCTTTAATTCGATCCAACAACAAAGGTCTCACCGTAACATATGCAAACAATGTTCCTTTGTTAGTAACTGTCAATTCAACTCCCATCAGTCTCAATTCCATAATATTTGCCACCCGTGCACACTGTACACAAGATTGTCTTCCTGAAGACTTCCTACTCAAAACATCTGCTACTACATTGGCTTTTCCAGGATGATGGTGAATATTACAATCATAATCTTTGATTAACTCCATCCAACGTCTCTGTCTCAAATTTAAGTCCTTCTGTGTAAACAAATACTTCAAACTCTGATGATCTGTAAATATTTTACAAATTTCACCATAGAGATAATGCCTCCACAATTTTAAATCAAAAACAATAGCAGTTAACTCTAAGTCATGTGTAGGATAATTCAATTCATGATTCTTTAATTGTCTAGAAACATATGCAATAACCTTGCCATTTTGCATCAAAACACATCCCAGACCCTGATGTGAAGCATCAGTGTAAATCACAAAACCTTTGCCACCACATGGAATAGTTAACACTGGGGCTGACGTTAACTTTTTCTTCAATGCTTCAAAACTTCTTTGGCATTCCTCACTCCACACAAACTTTACTTCCTTCCGGGTCAACTTTGTTAATAGCAATACGATACTAGAAAACCCTTGGATGAACCTCCGGTAATAACCCGCTAATCTCAGAAAACTTCTGACTTCTGTCACATTAGTAGGCCTTTCCCATTTCACCACTGCTTCCACTTTTGATGGGTTAACATAAATACCATCCCCAAATACTACATGCCCCAAAAATACAACTTTATCAAGCCAAAACTCACATTTGCTGAACTTAACAAAAAGTTGTTTTCCCGTAAAATCTGCAGTACAATTCTTAAATGTTTTTCATGGTCATCCACACTCCGAGAATATATCAAAATATCATCGATAAAGACAATAACAAATGAGTCAACATACGGATGAAATACTCGATTCATTAAATCCATAAACACCGCTGGAGCATTGGTTAACCCAAAAGGCATTACCAAAAATTCATAATGGCCATATCGAGTTCGGAAAGCAGTTTTAGAAATATCACTATCCTTTACTTTCAACTAGTGATATCCTAACCTCAAGTCAATCTTAGAAAACACCCTTGCCCCTTGCAACTGATCAAACAGATCATCAATTCGTGGCAATGGATACTTGTTTCTGATGGTTACATTATTTAACTGTCTGTAGTCAATACACAACCGCATAGTACCATCATTCTTCTTAACAAATAACACCGGTGCACCCCACGGTGAAATACTAGGTCGAATGAAGCCCTTATCCAATAAATCTTGCAACTATATCTTCAACTCTTTCAATTCTGTCGGTGCCATTTGATACGGAACAATAGAAATTGGAGTTGTTCCTGGTACCAACTCAATGGTAAAATCTACCTCCCTGTCCACTGGCAACCCCGATAATTCTTCTGGAAACACATCTGTGAATTCCCTTACCACTGGTACATTTTTAAGTGTCATATCTTTATTTTCAGTATCAACCACATATGCCAAGTAACCCCGACACCCTTTCTTCAACAACTTCCTAGTTTGTAAAGCTGAAATGAGACAGTTCGGAAAAACATTTCTTTCTCCTGTAAATCTGAATTCTGGCTCCCCTAGTATCTGAAATACAACTTCTTTCCGAAAATAGTCTAATGAATTTTTGGAAGAAAATGAGAGGTTTAACTTATTCGAGTTCCCTATGAAGTCGCGAAGAGTGTTTTAATAACTAAAGATTGAATCTTTGAATGAAAATACCTCAATCAAGGTACCTATTATGTCCCTAGACCTTTTTAATGTATAAATATTTAATCTTTGAAAGAGAAAGAGATTTTTGAGTTAAACTTGTTTGAATTACCTTTGACGTCCCAAAGAGTATTTTAATGAGAAAAGATTGAATCTTTGAATGAAAAATTCTCAATCAAGGTACCTATTATGTCACTATACCTTTTTAAAGTATAAAGATTAAATCGTTGAAAGATAATTAGAGTTTTGAGTTAAAGTTATTCTAGTTTCCTTTGACGTCCCGAAGAGTGTTTTAATGAGTAAAGGTTGAATCTTTGAATGAAATTACTTCTAATAAGGTACCAATTATGTCTCTAGACCTTTTTAATGTATTGCAGATTGAATCTTTGAAAGAAAATGAGAATTTTGAGTTTAACTTATTCGAGTTTAACTTATTCGAGTTCCCCATGAAGTCGTGAAGTGTGTTTTTGGGACAAAAGATTGAATCTTTGAATGAAATTACTTCAATCAAGGTACTAATTATGTCACTAGCCCATTTTAATCAATAAAGATAGAATCTTTGAATGAAAATGTGAGTTTTGTGTAAAACCTATTCGAGTTCCCTATGAAGTCGTGAAGAGTGTTTTAGTGACTACAGATTGAATCTTTGAATGAAAATACCTCAATTAAGGTACCAATTATGTCACTAGACCTTTTTAATAAGTAAAGATTGAATCTTCAAAAGAAAATGACGATTTTCAGTTAAACTTATTCGAGTACCCGTTGACGTCTCGAAGAGTGTTTAAAAGAGTGAAGATTGAATCTTTGAATGAAAATTGCTCAATTAAGGTACCAATTATGTTACTAGACTATTTTAATGTATAAAGATTAAATCTTTGAAAGAAAATGGGAGTTTTGAGTTAAACTTATTCGAATTTCCATTAACGTCCCGAAGAGTATTTTAATTAGTAAAGATTGAATCTTTGAATGAAATTAACTCAATTAAGGTAACTATTATGTCATTAGACCTTATTAATGTATAAAGATTGAATATTTGAAAGAAAATGAGAGTTTTGAGTATAACTTAATTGAATTCTTTATGAAGTGGCGAAGAGTGTTTTAATGGCTAAAAATTGAATCTTTGAATGAAAATACATTAATTAAGGTATTTATTATGTCACTAGACCTTTTCAATGTATAAAGAATAGATCTTACAAAGAAAATGAGATTTTTGAGTTAAATTGTTCGAGTTCCCTTTGACGTCTCGAAGAGTGTTTTAATGAGTAAAAATTGAATGTTTGAATGAAAAGTGTATTAATGAAAGTTCTAAGTTAAACTTATAATAGTTCCCTTTGACGTCACGCAGAGTGTATTAATAAGTAAAGATTGAATCTTTGAGCGAAATTACCTCAATAACGGTACCTATTATGTTACAAGACCTTTTTAATGTATAAAGGTTGAATCTTAAAAAGAAAATGAGAGTTTTGAGTTTAACTTATTCGAGTTCCCTTTGAAGTCGCGAAGAGTGTTTTAATGACTAAAAATTGATTATTTGAATGAAAATACCTCAATTAAGGTACCTATTATGTCATTAGAGCTTCTTAATGTAGAAAGATTAAATCTTTGAAAGAAATTGAGAGTTTTGAGTTAAACTAATTCGAGTTCCTTTTGATATCCCAAAGAGTGTTCTAATGAGTAATGATTGAGTATTTGAATGAAAACACCTCAATCAAGGTACCTATTATATCACTACACCATTTTAATGTATAAAGATTGAATCTTTAAAAGAGACTGATAGTTTTGAGTTAAACTTATTCGAGCTCCCTTTTAGGTCATGAAGAGTGTTTTAATGAGTAAAGATTGAATCATTGAATAAAATTATCTCAATCAAGGTAGCTATTATGTCTCTAGACCTTTTTAATGTATAAAGATTGAATCTTTGAAAGAAAATAAGAGTTTTGAGTTAAAGTTATTTGACTTCCTTATGAAGTCGTGACGAATGTTTTAATGACTAAAGACTAAATCTTTGAATGAAAATACCTAAATCAAGGTACCTATTATATCACTAGACCTTTTTAAGGTATAAAGATTGAATTTTTGGAAGAAAATGAGAGGTTTAACTTATTCGAGTTCCCTATGAAGTCGCGAAGAGTGTTTTAATATCTAAAGATTGAATCTTTGAACGAAAATACCTCAATTAAGGTACCTGTTATGTCACTAGACCTTTTTAATGTATAAATATTTAATCTTTGAAAGAGAAAGAGATTTTTGAGTAAAACTTGTTTGAATTCCCTTTGACATCTCAAAGAGTATTTTAATAAGAAAAGATTGAATTTTTGAATGAAAAATTCTCAATCAAGGAACCTATTATATCACTAGACCTTTTTAAAGTATAAAGATTGAATCATGGGAAGAAAATTAGAGTTTTGAGTTAAACTTATTCGAGTTTCCTTTGATGTTCCGAAGAGTGTTTTAATGAGTAATTGTTGACTCTTTGAATGAAATTTCTTCTAACAAGGTACCAATTATGTCTCTAGTCCTTTTTAATGTATGAAGATTGAATCTTTAAAAGAAAATTAGAGTTTTGAGTTTAACTTATTCAAGTTCCCTATGAAGTCATGAAGTGTGTTTTAGGGACAAAAGATTGAATCTTTGAATGATATTACTTCAATCAAGGTACTAGTTACGTCACTAAACCATTTTAATCTGAAAAGATTGAATCTTTGAACGAAAATGAGAGTTTTGTGTAAAACATATTCGAGTTCTCTATGAAGTCACGAAGAGTGTTTTAGTTAGTGACTACAGAAAAAATCTTTGAATGAAAATACCTCAATTAAGGTACCAATTATGTCACTAGACCTTTTTAATGAGTAAAGATTGAATCTTTAAAAGAAAATGAGGGTTTTCAGTTAAACTTATTCGATTTTCCTTTGACGTTCCGAAGAGTGTTTCAAAGAGTAAAGATTGAATCTTTAAATGAAAATTGCTCAATCAAGGTACCAATTATGTTACTAGACCATTTTAATGTATTAAGATTAAATGTTTGAAAAAAAATGAGGGTTTTCAGTTAAACTTATTCGAGTTCCCATTAACGTCCCGAAGAGTGTTTTAATTAGTAAAGATTGAATCTTTGAATGAAATTAACTAAATCAAGGTAACTATTATGTCACTAGACCCTATTAATGTATAAAGATTGAATCTTTGAAAGAAAACAAGAGTTTTGAGTTTAACTTAATCGAATTCCTTATGAAGTGGCGAAGAGCATTTTATTGACTAAATATTGAATCTTTGAATGAAAATACCTTAATCAAGGTATTTATTATGTCACTAGACCTTTTTAATGTATAAAGATTAAATCTTACCAAAAAAATGAGAGTTTTGAATTAAACTTGTTCAAGTTCTCTTTGACGTCTCAAAGAGTGTTTTAATGAGTAAAAATTAAATGTTTGAATGAAAACACCTCAATAAATGTAGTATTATGTCACTCGACCATTTAAATGTTTAAAGATTTAATCTTCGAAAGAAAATGAGAGTTTTCTGTTAAATTTATTCGAGCAGCCTTTGACGACATGAAGAGTGTTTTTATGTGTAAAGATTGAATCTTTGAATAAAATTACCTCAATCAGGATACCTATTATGTCACTAGACCTTTTTAATGTATAAAGATTGAATTTTTCAAAGAAAATAAGAGTTTTGAGTTTAACCTATTTGAGTTCCCTATGAGGTAGCGAATAGTGTTTTAATGACTAAATATTGAATATTTTAATGAAAATACCTCAATCATGGTACCTATCATGTCACTAGACCTTTTTAATGAATAAAGATTGAATCTTCGAAAGAAAATGAGAGTTTTGAGTTTAACATAATCGAGTTCCCTATGAAGTGGCGAAGAGTGTTTTAATGACTAAAAATTGAATCTTTGAATGAAAATAACTCAATCAATGAATTTATTATGTCACTAGACCTTTTTAATAAATAAAGATTGAATCTTTGAAAGAAAATTAGAGTTTAGAGTTTAACTTATACGAGTTCCCTTTGACGTCCCGAAGAGTATTTTAATGAGTAAAGATTGAATATTTGAATGAAATTACCTTAATCAAGGTATCAATTATGTCACTACACCATTTTAATGTATAAAGACTATATATGTAAAAGAAAATGAGAGTTTTGAGTTAAACTTATTCGAGTTCCCTTTGACGTCACGAAGAGTATTTTAATGAGTAAAGGTTGAATCTGTGAATAAAATAACCTCAATCAAGGTACCTGTTATATTACTAAAACCTTTTTAATGTATAAAGATTAAATCTTTGAAAGAAAATGAGAAATTTGAGTTTAACACAATCAAGGTACCTATTCTATCACTAGACCTTTTTAATGTATAAAGATTGAATCTTTGTAAGAAAATGAGAGTTTTGAGTTTAACTTATTCGAGTTCCCTATGAAGTCGTGAAGAGTGTTCTAATGACAAATGATTAAATCTTTGAATGAAAATACCTTAATCAAGGTTCCTATAATGTCACTAGACCTTTCTAATGTATAAATATTGGATCTTTGCAAGAAAATAAGAGTTTTGAGTTAAACTTATTCGAGTTTCATTTGTCGTCTCAAAGAGTGTTTTTATAAGTAAAGATTGAATCTATGAATGAAAATACTTCAATCAGGGTACCTATTATGTCACCAGACCATTTTAATGTATAAAGATTAAATCATTGAAAGAAAAAGAGAGTTTTAAATTAAACTTATTCGAGTTCCCTTTGACGTCACAGAGAGTGTTTTAATGTGTAAAGGTTGAATCTTTGAATGAAATTACCTCAATCAAGGTACCTATTATGTCAATGGACCTTTTTAATGTATAAAGATTTAATCTTTGATTTTAAATGAGAGTTTTGAGTTTAACTTATTCGAGTTCCCTATGAAGTCACGAAGAGTGTTTTAATGACCACAAATTGAATCTCTGAATGAAAATACCTCAATCAAGGTACTAATTTTATCACTAAATCTTTTTAATGAATAAAGATTGAATCTTTAAAAGAAAATGAGAGTTTTGAGTTAAACTTATTTGAGTTCCCTTTTACGTCCCGAAGTGTGTTTAAATAAGTAAATATTGAATCTTTGAATGTAAATTCCTCACTCAAGGTACCAATTATGTCACTAGACTATTTTAATGTATAAAGATTAAATCTTTGAATGAAAATGAGAGTTTTGATTTAAACTTATTCGAGTTCTCTTTAACATCACGAATAGTGTTTTAATTAGTAAAGATTGAATACCTGAGAGACACTACAACATATTAGACTTTTACCAGCGCTCTTTAGAAGAGCGCTGGTATAGGTGAACTAATACCAACACTTTTGTTAAAGCGCTGGTATAGGTGTTACAGTACGAGCGCTTTGTAAAAAAGCGCTGGTATTGGTGTTACAGTACGAGCACTTTGTAAAAAAACGCTAGTATAAGTGGTACAGTACTAGCACTCAAAGTGCTGGTATAAGTGTAATTGTACCAGCGCTTTAAATAAAAGCGCTGGCATAGGGCTCTTCCATTCCCCCGGTTTTCCCCTTCCCTCCACTTTTTTCCCTCCGCTTATTTATATATATATAGAATATTTAGTGCCTAAACTACGTCTTTTTTTTGGGTCCATTAACACTACAACATTCCACTTTCCCCATTTCAATTTCATTTTGCCCTAGCTACTTCATCCGTCTCTCCTCTCTGCGCGACCTTATCGCTCCGCTCTATCTCGATCGCTCACCTGCAAGACTCCCCTCTCTGAAAAATATTTTGCCTTTTGATTTCATCACCATTTCTCTCTGAAGTTCCAACCCTTATTACGTTTCTTTGCCGCCACTGCGCTTATATGTGCATTGAGGTAACTCTGTGACTCTGTCTTCTATTGTCTGTGATTTCATTTTCTTGATTTTCGTTTTCTGGGTTATGAGATTTCTGTCTGTACTTGAATTCAGATTACTTTATTGATTTATTTATTTTCAATTAATTTTTCTGATTTTAGTTTACAAATGGGTCTAAACTTCACCTAAAAATCAATTGGTTAGGTTTTCCCCTTTCTGTTTGGTCTATCTTCTATCTTATGTTTACCATTTTTTTTTTTGGTAAATGAAAGCAAAAGGATCTTCTCTCGCTGAATTTGAAAGAAAAAAAAGTTCATCTCATATACGTGATTAATTGCATTTGCATTTTTAGCACTAAGGTTTTAGTGTGTGTAAAATATGAATGAAGCATCAATATTCTCTATTTCTTCTTCTTGATTTAAAGCAACTTTGTGGAAGGTTTAAGGTTTTGGCGCAACCTTCCAGTGGGTACTTCAAAAGTTTCATTGTTCTTGTCATAACTCTGTCTCAATCTCTACTGCTCGATCTCCATTTCTCAGCTGAAGCCCTTGATTGATGTTTACTAACCCGCTCTATGTCGATCTCTCACTGCTCTATCTCAATCTTCCACTGCTTGATCTCCATCTCAGCTGCAAGACTCCTCTACCCTGTCTCAATCTCTCACTGTTCAATCTCTATTTCTCAGCTGAAGCCCTTGATTGATGTTTGCTAACCCGTCTCTCTTTCGGCATTATCTCATCTGAGATTACAAAGTTGAAGCCCTAGGCTTCTCTTCAGGCTGTCTCTCCTCTGTCTCAATCTCTCAGCAATTTCTGAGTAAGTTCGAATCCACAAGCAAATTTCTTTTTTTAATGTTTTTTTTTTTCTTTTATGAAATGAATTTTTGGTTTGAAATTTTTTTTCTTTTATTTCCAAACAAATTTTTCATACTTAGTATGTATGTATATATATATATATATATACATACATATAGTTGATCTTTTTCTGTACATAAGATTTTTTATAATACAGACTTTGGTTAGGATTGTTTTAGTTTCTCTCTGCAAGACTATTTTGATGTTTGATTGCTTTGGTTAGGATTGCTTTTTATATCTATATTCATATTTATATTAGCATTGATGTTTGACTTAACAATTGGGTTTAGAAAAATAATTCAAAACCACAGAACGGTCTAATTTTAATTTGTCTACTCATGTTGTTTCAAATTTTCTGATAATCAGTCACAGTCACCTTCTAAAAGTCATATATTACTAAAAAAATAAATTTTAATAAAAAAAGAAAAAGAAAAAAGAACACTGAACTAGCAAGTAGAGAAACATCAGTTGTGGGTTAAATTAAATTAAATTAAAATCACTTTTGAGATTGACAGTGAAAGTTTAATTATAATTTGCTCCTTAGAATCACTGATAGTTAAATATATATATATATATATATATATATACATATCTATTGTTGAAAATTATAGGAATGAAATAGGAAATTAAATAGTGGGAAGCTTTTTGCATTATAGGCTTAACTGGGGAAATATATTTATCTTCCTCAGTTGATAAAATTAAGTATTCCGCTAATTGATGAGAAACTTACCCTCCAACATATATCTTTTCAGCCAGGATAAAAGAGCCCATGATTGCCACTATGATCATCATCAGAGGGCTGAAAGCAGTCACAAAGACAGGCCCTCTTTTCTGCATGACCAAACCTTGTACATAGTATGCAATGCTTGATGACACTATACCCTGTAGGTCATTAAAAAGTTACTTTTTATATAGTTTACTATTTCATACATACATACATATATATATATATATAGAGGGAATGCTTACAGCATAGGTAGCAGCTAGAAGGTTCATGTCCCAGCCAATGGTCCAAACAGATAGATTGTGTTCCATGACAGTGTGACCACTATAATTCAGCCTTTGTCTCGGTTTCCTTCGCATTAGCAATCAAGAAGGGGATAACTCGCATTTGATTAGCTAATATTCTTTGAAGGTATTGATGATTGCTTTTCCTACTTTTTAATTTTTTATCTATTCATTTAAAATTATTCCTTATGAGTTTCATTAGTTCATCAATATATATATTCTACTTGTTGCATGATATGTAAATCAACTTTGGTATATCATCTTGTTGAATTGTCAGCTCTTACAAATAATCATGTTGTAATATGTTTTTATTTTGATTAATGCAAATAATTTATTTACGTTCATATGGAATTTTTGGAGATTGAACTATTACCTGTTACTTTCTTGCTGTACACAATGGACCCATCTTGCATAATGATATTTTACTAAAAATTTACGATCATTCTTAGGAACCCTGGCTACATTTTGTTGAGGAATTTGTTTTAATGGAGTAATGATGATTTTTTTTGTACATGTTACTTTTTTATTCTTTTCAAATACCTTGACTAAATTGTTATCATGTTTACCAATAATATATTTCTTGTCCATATATTTTATTTAGGTTACTTGATGTAATATCATGGATAGAAGTTGGATAACTCAGTCAAGGTACTTCAGATTGTAGTTTGATTAGGTTACTTAATCTAATAAGAACAATTTAAGAAATTTGATTTTTTATATGCATTACTATGCAAATAGGTTAAGTTCAGCATACTTGCGTGGAGTTGAAGAGTTTCTAGATATCTCATTTGAGCGAGTTGGGAAGGATGGGCGTATGTATTGTACTTGTACTGATTATGGCAATTGTATAAAAAAAAAACACGTTATGAGGTGAGAGATAATTTGGTATGCAATAAGTTTATACAGTCATACACAACTTGATTTTATCACGGGGAAGAAGTGCCGTCATCTTCTCGGCAAACTGATGTACACACAACACACGAGGATATCAATGCAAACAAAAATGATGATATGCATGGACTCTTACACGAGGGTTTTGGTGTTCCAACTGAAGGGAGGAAAGAGACCAACGGAGAAAATGATCAGCACCAAAGGGTGTCAAATGAAGAGTTAGATAAATTTTATAGGCTATTGGAAGATGCAAACCAAGAGTTATATCCTGGGTGTAAAAAGTTTTCAAAGTTATCCTATGTAGTGAAGCTATAATTAGTGAAGACTAAATATAATTGGAGTGACAAATCATTTACTGATCTGTTAAAAGTGATAAAAGATGGATTACCAGATGGCGAGACATTACCAAAAACCTTCAATGAAACAAAGAAGATGATTGGTGACCTGGGTCTTAAATATAATAAGATTTATGCATGTCCCTCTAATTGTATGTTATATTGGAAGGAGCACTCTAATGATGAAATGTGTCATAATTGTGGCAAGTCAAGCTGGAAAGTTTTTGATTCAAAAACTGAGGGCAATGCAAGTACATCATCCTCATCAACAAATAAAAAAATTCCTGCTAAAGTTATACGATATTTTCCTTTGAAGCCAAGACTCCAAAGATTGTTCATGTCAAGTAAGACAGCTTCTTCTATGAGATGGCATGCCGAAGAGCGAATCAAGGATGGATTGATGAGACATCCCGCTGACTCCCCAGCATTGGATAGCTTTGATAAAAGATACACAACATTTTCTAGTGATCCTCGGAATGTCAGGATTTTGCATTAGCAACTGATGGGTTCAACCCATTCAAGACCATGAGTGTTGCAGCAAGTACATGGCCTGTTTTGATACTCGTGTATAACTTACCCTCATGGATGTGCATGAAACAGCCTTATTTTATTCTATCAACCTTGATACCTGTCCATAAGGGACCTAGAAATGATATTGATGTCTATTTGCAGCCTTTGATAAAGGAATTAAAAGAGTTGTGGGTTGATGGGGTGGAAACTTATGATGCTTCAAGAAATGAGATGTTCCGTATGCATGCAGCATTGTTTTGGACTCTTTCTGACTTTCCTGGTTATGCAATGGTATCCGGTTGGAGTATAAAAGGGTATTTGGCTCTCATTTCTTAGATCATAGCAAGAAAATATATTGTGATGGGCATCATTGTTTTCTTGAAAAAGATCATAAATATAGGCGTTGTAAATCAGCATTTGACGGCACTGAAGAGGTAAGGTGTGCACCGCCTATGTTATCTGGACCACAATTGTTACATGAATTAGAGGGCCTTAAATTTCCACCATTTGGAAAGAGTGTGCATACAATGAATGAAGATCAGAGCGTGAAGATCGGACATGTCCGCCGCACAATTGGAGAAAGAAGAGTATATTCTTTCAATTACCATATTCGAAGTATGATCTTCTGCGTCATAATCTAGATGTGATGCATATTGAAAAAAATATATGTGACAATATACTTCACACATTGATGAATGATCAGAAATGGAAGGATGGATTAAAAGCAAGACTTGACTTACAGGATATGGGAGTAAGGCCTTCACTTCACCCATAAGAGCGTGGTTCAAACAAATTTTATTTGCCTCCTGCAAATTTCACGCTATCTTCACTTGAAAAGAGCACATTATGTCGAGTGTTGAAAAATGTTAAAGTTCCAGATGGGTATGCATCTAACATTTCACGTTGTGTGAAATTGAAAGAGCGTACAATTAGTGGGTTGAAGAGTCATGATTGTCATATATTGATGCAACAACTTCTAGCCATAGCCATTTGTAGGATATTGCCTAAGAATGTTTGCTCAGTACTTGTTGAGCTCAGTAACTTTTATCGAGAGCTGTGTTCAAAGACTCTTCGGCCTGAAGACTTGGATGAATTGGAACACTGGATTGTTTTAATACTATGTCAGTTGGAAATGATATTCCCACCTGCCTTCTTCACCGTAATGGTACATTTATCTGTTCACTTTGCTCACGAGGCAAGGATTGCAAGACCAGTGCAATATCGTTGGATGTATCCAATTGAGAGGTCAAGATTTTTAATGAATTTTCATTTATAGTTTGTTTATTTTTAATAATTCTGATATTATTAAATTTCATTCTTTATATTTAGGTACCTTATGACTTTGAAAAATTACGTGCGAAATAGAAGTCATCCCGAGGGTTCAATAGCAGAAGGTTATTTAGCAGAAGAATGCTTGACTTTTTGTTCACGTTATTTGACAAATATTGAGACGAGATTCGATAAGCCCCAAAGGAATTCTGATAATGTGCTTGATGGAGAGGAAGTGAATGATTTTGGTGCACAAGGCCGTGCCTTGGGAAAACAATAGTTCATTAATCTAGATGAGATGACTTTGGTGCAAGCTCATCGCTATGTTTTGTTCAATTATCATGGAGCAGAACCATTCATTGAGTAAGATTAAGTTCCCCAATATATTACATGATTATATTTGTGTCAAACTTCATTTAGTTTAATAGGCAATATGTTTGACATTATATTTTCACAATGCACAAAACATAAGAGATTTCTTAAAATGAGGCAGCGCTATTTAAAACCAAGACAATTAGAGAAGATTTCTCATGATTTATTTCACAAATGGTTTAATGAATGTGTAAGTATTTGACTTTTGTGTTGTTGGTGTATTATATAAAAAATTACCTTATTATCTAAGTTATATCTTTATGAATACAGTTGCGAGATAGTGAGGATCCAATTCCTAATGAGTTGAGGTGGCTAACACAAGGTCCAAACCCTGTCACGAAACGGTTCAAGAAGTTTGTGATCAATGGTTTGAAGTTTCATGATAGAAATGTTGAGAAACGGAGAAAGACTCAGAATAGTGGAGTTGTCATAAAGGCAGTGACATCTAGTTATGCAAGAGCCACCGATCACAATCCCGTCACAGGAGATATTCAGTACTATGGTGTGCTGACTGATATCATTGAGTTAAATTACAATGTAAATAGGAAGGTGGTATTGTTTAAGTGTGATTAGTTTGATGTCTTGTCCAAGGTAGAGGAATAAAGAAGGATGATTTTCGATTTAAGCTTGTTAATTCGTCGCAATCGTTGGGAACAGATGAGCCTTTCATTCTAGCATCTCAAGCTGAACAAGTATTCTATGTTGATGATCCCATTGACAATGAGTGGAAAGTGGTTATTGGCACAAAACCGCGAGACCTTTATGATATGTCAGAGCATGATATTGAATCTTATCAAGTTCAGGAGCCATTTCATGCACAACATGTGGCTAACGACTTGGATGCACCTGATGATAGCACGTTTTGGACAAGAGTTGATTTGCTTGGAACAACTATAGAAGAAGATGATGATGTTGATGATGACCTTAATGAAGGTGAGATTTAGGATGATTCCAAATCTACTACTCAATGGATGTGAAACGTCTTTTTTAGATGTCAAATGTCTTTTTTGGATATTATAAGCTCTGATTCACTATATATATATATGCAACTTTGACAATAATATTGCAGTATCATATTTTGTAGCATGCACATGTACGCTTCCCGTGAAAACTGATTTTGTTTTTTTGTGTGCTTATATATTTTTAATATGTTTTGATCTATTCTTGGCACATTATTGTATAAGTGCAATCAATGATTTTACCAAAACAGAATGGTTTTATATAATTTCCATTGGACAACCAAAAATACCCTAAAGTTTTGAGGTATTTTTTATTTCTTTTTATTGATTTTTCCTGGATTGTGCATTGCCTTTTTTAAACAATTTGATTGCATTCTCTTAAATGAATTCTCACTTTTTTGTTTTCTTTTCTAGGAAGGATAAATAATAAGTTGACAATGAAACGAACGGTTAGTGAAGTGGAAAAAGTGAGTGAATAAAATACCGAAGCTTCAACTTCAGAATCATCCCAACCACCGCCGAAGAAGAGACGGGGCCCCCCGACACGATGCAAGAATGTCGTAAACGCGACAACCTTATTACCATTAAGGTACATTTATATAGAGATCATCTTATATAGTTTACAAAATTAGACTATATTCAATATGAAGGAGAAAAAACGATTTCTATCTTTATTTTTGTACTAAACATCTACCATTGTTAATTTTTGTTTAGGGTTAATAAGTTTGGACAACCGATCGACCCTGGAAGTGGTACATATACTAATTATTTGGGAATACTTGCCCGGAATGCTAATTTAGCTCCTTTGTGCTACAAAACTTGGTGGGAGATGCCTAAATGGCTGAAGGAGGATATGTGAAACGTTGTAAAGGTAAAACCCTTCAATGATATTAAAATAATTTTTATGAAAAAAGTGGATTAACATGTAGCAATTATCACATTTTCAGGGAAAGTATAATGTGGGAATCATGTCAAAACATTGGACAATATCCCCCATCAGAAAAAAATGGCGGGGGTACAAGTGTGAATTAAAAAGTGAATATTACTCAGTTATGGATACAGATGCAGAAAGATTTGCAAACCCACCACCTGATGTTGAAAAGGAGCATTGGGAATTTTTGGTTAGGCATTGGGGTATGCCTATGGCGAAGGTAATCCTCCATCTACCAATTTTGTTTAAAGTCAATGAGTTGAATTTATAGTTTACCTGCTTTCAGTCATTATTTAGGTGGAATGTTAGAACGTTTACTTTTTCTCACTTTTTGTAGGAGGTCAATAAAAAAAACAAAGAACGTCGTGGGAAGCAAACAATGATACATACTACAGAGACAAAATGCTTTGCACGTGTTTCTGCCGAGGTTAGTTGAAGTTTTGGCAATATAAATTATTTCAGTTCTTATGTCGTTGAATGATTACAATGTTTATGTTTCTTTTATAGATTGAGGAAGACGAAGGTATTCAGCTTTCTCGTGCAGATTTATTCATTCGCACGCATATAAATAAGGATGGCAAAGCTACTGATGCTGCTTCTTTGGAGATGATTGTAAGTTTTCATGCTTCCATTTTGCAAAAAGGGGGTCACGTTCCTTGAAGTGACCAATTTTTAAACTCTTTGCGGTGTATTAGGGGGTCACATGCCTTGAAGTGACCAATTTTTAAATCATCGGCCCATGTGGAGGCATTTTAATTTCATTGTTTATCATCGGCCATGGGACTATGGGATCATTGTATATGGAGGCTTCTTGTTGATTGATTTGTGTTGTGGAGGAGAAGTATTTGCTATTTGTTGTTTGTGTTAATTTCTTACTCATATATTGTGGCAATGGTCTTTTGAATGTAGACAACTTCAAATATTATATACAAGCTATGTAAAGGCCACTAAACACTTGTTCATGATCTATAAAGTACCCTATGGTGGTCCAAATGGACCAAATGTCGATGTAGGATAAGGAAGAAAAATTAACAAAACATTATAATGACACTCTTTTTGGAGTGAAGTCGATGAACTGCCTCCACCAAGTGCCCACCGATTTTCCCCCAAACCCATTTCCACCCTATTCATCTTCCTTTGAAACTCAAATCTGCAATGAGTAATCAACAAGAGAGACACTTACAAATGGAAGCATGTAAAAGCTAGAGCTAAGGGCAGATCTAGGATTTCTCAATGGGGTGGGCTAAATCAAAATATATCAACCAAAATCAACTTTTGTTTAATTCAATTTTAGTTAATTAACAATGTTTCTTTAGACAATTGACTAATTAAGGACTATCTCTTCTTTTGACCAATTAGCTACTTTTGCTTGTCAAAGTTCTTGTTGTGATTTTTTTTTTTTTCAGTTCTGAAAAGATTTCCATCTTCAAAAAGCTTGGCTTGTTGATAAAAATTGTTTCAGATTCAATCTCTGCAGATTTCTAATCCAATTCAGATTTTTTTTTTTTTTTTTTTCATGCCCAGATTCAAATTTTCTTGTAGACGTATATAATGGACAACAAAAAAAATAATAAAACAGGAATAGAAGTTATAGAAATTAATTATTATTATTATTTTTTTTTGCTGAAATAAAAGGTAGATTGCGGTGATCACCTCAAAATGCAATGCAAATTTTGTTACTTTATATTGTAAAAAAAAAATTATATAAAAAAGATCATAAAAAATTTCACCAAATAGGATTTAGTTTGCAAAACAAGAATTACAGAGCCTGATTAGTTGATTTAGAAAAAAATTTAAAACAAAACCCATACATACAAGTTAGCAGTTGCTTTTCCTCTGACTCTCTGACTCCCTCTCTCCAAGGGCAAGGGTTGATGTTTGTGAAGCTACATTCATCTTTTCTCTATTTACTTCATTTAAATCCTTTTGTTTTTGTCATGAAAGCTTAGGTATATATATATATATTATACATACACATGTATATTTAAGCATTACATGTTCATAGCTTGTTGGGATTTCAGTTCTTTTGTGCTTTATTTAGAATCTAGGGTTTTAAAAAATACTTCCCAACCTGTGTTCAAACTTATAGAGCATACCATGATATGCTATAAACGGTACAACCAGAACAATATCATTGCAACAATAGAGCAACATAACTGAAAAATTAGCAGCTGAATTTTTAAAATAGAGAAAATAAAATAAAGTGGTAGAGTTCAGACTTTAGCTAGAACTGAATGTTCAGATTATTCTACTACATGCTCAAATAATTGGCGCTTATGTAGTCTCTCAAAAAAATACCTATTTCCAGTCAGAAAATTTGAGGATATGGTGGATTAGTTTTGGCTTTGTATTGAAAATTTTGTTGAGACAACTGACTAAGAAATACAGTCATTTTCCGGATCACTGAACAATTTGTCAGCAGTTACCCAACTTAACAATTCTTTAGAAACATCACTGCATTGTATCTTTGTTTTCTACATAATCCAAAACTTGATGCCTCATTTTTCTTTTTCTTAATAGGATATAGAAACAAGATTTGTGATTTGTTTAAACATAGATAAGAACATTTGTAATTATATAATTTATAAGGAGAAAAGGAAATAAAAAAATAAAAAACAGATTTGGTGACATTAGAGGAGCCTTAATGGTAGAGTTCAAATTACTCAAATGTGGATTTGAGTTTAAGAAGCAATTTTGTTCAAATTATGACAAATGCTAGATCTGTACTCAATCTAATTGAAACCAGCCTTTAAAACAAGTCCAAGATTGAGTTATTAACAAAAGTTAGGTAGAATGTAGATAATAAAAACTTTTTGAAAGCTAAATTTACATCTAATGGAAAAGCTAAAAATACAGTACATTACTCTAATATTGCTGCAGTTTTACAAACATGGTATCCCAATTTCCAAACACAACCTTCTTCTAAAGGAAGCCATTTTATCACCTGATTTTCATCAGAAAAGATGAATGTTCAAGTAATTGAGGATTCAAAATGTCACCTAATAAAACCCCAACCCCCACCCAAAAAAAAAAGGAAAAAACAAAAAAAACAAGTCTCTTAGGGGTTGTTACACGGATCCTATCTTAGCATATTTTGAAGCTTTAGAGATTGTATGAAAGTTCAAAGGGATGTCATAACTATATTTTCACATTGTGTGATGCACTGTTGTTTCAGAACACTTGGCTTTCGTCATTACCAATTTGTTATCTAATTACTTTTCTGTTCAGCTGTTTCTGCATTCCTGTTCTATCATTTCATTAGATTTGTCTGGATGTTTCATAGCAGTATGTCATGGTAGTTCAAAATTTTCTTTTTTTTTGGCAGGAAAACATAACAGAACTTCAAAAAAGTTACTCTGACTCGCCTATATGTAGTTCCAATGATTTGTTCTCCATTGTGAGGGGAGAAGAGAGAACTGGTCGTGTGCGGATGCTTGGCTTCAAGCCTACACCAAGAGATGTTTGGGGGCCCTCTTTTAGTAAAGCTGAACTGATTAATAATGTCAAAAAATCTCAGGAGGAGGCACGTGTAGAGTTGCAGGAGGCGATTTCAAAAATGCAAGCCGACTATGACAACAAGTTGGAAAATTTACGAGCCAACTACGACGACAAGTTGGAAAATTTACAACAACTGGTGACTATGTTAATGCAGATGCAACAACAAAATTAAAGTGGCCAGGTATATTTATTATTAATTTTACACTTTACTAAATATATGTTTACTTATGCCAAGATTTCATGTATTTTGTTTTATTATTTTGAAGGGTTCTAATTCTTTAAATGCTCCTCCTAGAGTATCCCCAAATTCATTTTCTAGTCGTGATGCCAATTCAATTAAGGTTATGAACTTTTAATTTCTCTTATATATATGTTAAATTTTCATTTATTATAATGTGCGCTTAATGAATTTATAAAAAATGTAGGGTAATTCAAATCAAATGGGCAAGAAGACTTGTTGAAGTTGAAGTTGAAGCGGAAGATGGGGTCGTGACTGTGCTTTCTGAATTTCCTTCCCCTTGGATGGGTCCTTTTTGAAAAACTTGTACTACATTTGTCAAAAATTCTTAATTCTTTTTGTGTGACATTTAGTAGCTTTATCTAGACAATTTGGATGGTATTTTCATATTGGCAGGTTAACTTGTGGTTGTATTAGTATACATTTTGGCTTTTTGGTTGACATTTACCAGTTGTATCAATTAGTAGCCAATTTCGATGGTATTTTTCATATTGGCAGCTGGTTAACTTGTGGTTGTATTATATAAAAACAATTTGGATGGTATTTTTATATTGATTTGTGTTATATTGGATGACATTTAGTAGCTGTAAAAAATAAAATAAAATAAAATGACCCAAGTACCAAAAAGCGCTAGCATAAGGGAAAATAAAATAATAAAACAAAAATTAAAATGATCCCTGTACCAGCGCTTTTTGAAAAAACGTTGGCACAGGGAAAAGAAAAATAATAATAATAAATTTTAAAATGACCTTAGAACCGGCACTTTTTCAAAAAGCGCTGGCATAAGGGAAAATAAAATAAAATAAAAAATTTAAAATGAACCCAGTACCAGCGCTGGTGTAGGGGAAAAAATAATTAAAAAAAAATTAAAATGACCCCAGTACCAGTGCTTTTTGAAGAAGCGCTGGCATAGGGGGAAAAATATAATATAAAAAAAAAAAATTAAAATGACCCTGTACCAGCGCTTTTTGAAAAAGCGCTGGTAAATACCCTATGCCAGCGCTTCTTCAAAAGTGTTGGTACAGGGTATTTACCAGCGCTTTTTAAGAAGCACTGGCATAGGGTATTTACCAGCTCTTTTAAAGCCCTACCGACACATGCTTTACCAGCACTTTTTCCAAAAAATGCTGGTAATTAATTACTAGCGCTTTTTAAGACTTTTACCGGTGCTTTTGAGCATTGGTAAAAGCCAGATCTGTTGTAGTGAGAAATTACCTCAATCACGGTATTTATTATGTCACAAGACCTTTTCAATGTATAAAGAATGAATCTTTGAAAGAAAAAGAGAGTTTTGAGTGTAACTTATTCGAGTTCCCAATGTAATCTCGCAGAGTGCTTTAATGACTAAAGATTGAATTCTTGAAATAAAATATCTCAATTACGGTACCTATTATGTCATTTGACATTTTCAATGTATAAAGATTAAATCTTTAGAAGAAAATGAGAGTTTTAAGTTAAACTTATAATAGTTTCCTTTGACATCACGAAGAGTGTAATAATGAGTAAAGATTGAATCTTTGAGCGAAATTACCTCAATCACAGTACCTATTATATCACAACACCTTTTTAATGTATAAAGGTTAAATTTTTGAAAGAAAATGAGAGTTTTCAGTTTAACTTATTCGAGTTCCCTTTAAAGTCGCGAAGAGTGTTTTAATGACTAAAAATTGAATCTTTGAATCAAAATACCTCAATCAAGGTACCTATTATGTCATTAGAGCTTCTTAATGTATCATTGAATCTTTGAAAGAAAATTAGAGTTTTGAGTTTAACTAATTCAAGTTCCCTTTGACGTCCCAAAGAGCGTTTTAATGAGTAAAGATTGAATATTTAAATGAAAACACCTCAATCAAGGAACCTATTATGTCACTAAACCATTTTAATGTATAAAGATTAAATCTTTGAAAGAAAATAAGAGTTTTGAGTTAAACTTATTCGAGTTCCCTTTGCGGTCACGAAGAGTGTTTTAATGAGTAAAGATTGAATCATTGAATAAAATTATCTCAATCAAGGTAGCTATTATGTCACTAGACCTTTTTAATGTATAAAGATTGAATCTTTGAAAAAGAATGAAAGTTTTGAGTTAAACTTATTTGACTTCCCTGTGAAGTCGTGATGAGTGTTTTTAACGACTAAAGACTGAATCTTTAAATGAAAATACCTCAATCAAGGTACCTATTATATCACTATACCTTTTTAACGTATAAATATTGAATTTTTGGAAGAAAATGAGAGGTTTGAGTCTAACTTATTCGAGTTCCCTATAAAGTTACGAAGAGTGTTTTAATAACTAAAGATTGAATCTTTGAATGAAAATATCTCAATCAATGTACCTATTATGTCACTAGACCTTTTTCATGTATAAATATTAAATCTTTGAAAGAGAAAGAGATTTTTGAGTTAAAATTGTTTGAATTCCCTTTGACGTCCCAAAGAGTATTTTAATGAGAAAAGATTGAATCTTTGAATGAAAAATTCTCAATCAAAGTACCTATTACGTCACTAGACCTTTTTAAAGTATAAAGATTGAATCTTTGAAAGAAAATTAGAGTTTTGAGTTAAACTTATTCGAGTTTCCTTTGATGTCCCGAAGAGTGTTTTATTGAGTAAAGGTTGAATCTTTGAATGAAATTACTTCTAACATGGTACCAATTATGTCTCTAGACCTTTTTAATGTATGAATATTGAATCTTTGAAAGAAAATTAGAGTTTTGATTTTAACTTATTCGAGTTCCCTTTGACGTCCCGATGGGTGTTTTAATGAGTAAAGGTTGAATCTTTGAAAGAAATTACTTCTAACATGGTACCAATTATGTCTCTAGACCTCTTTAAGGTTTTCAGTTAAACTTATTCGAGTTCCCATTGACGTCCCGAAGAGTGTTTAAAAGTGTAAAGATTGAATATTTGAATGAAAATTTCGCAATCAAGGTGCCAATTATGTCACTAGACCATTTTAGTGTATAAAGATTAAATCTTTGAAAGAAAATGAGAGTGTTGAGTTAAACTTATTCGAGTTCCCATTAACATCCCGAAGAGTGTTTTAATTAGTAAAGATTGAATCTTTGAATGAAATTAACTCAATCAAGGTAACTATTATGTCACTAGACCTTATTATTGTATAAAGATTGAATCTTTGAAAGAAAACGAGAGTTTTAAGTTTAACTTAATCGAATTCCTTATGAAGTGGCGAAGAGTGTTTTAATGACTAAAGATTGAATCTTTGAATGAAAATACCTATGTTACTAGACTTTTTTAATGTATAAAGATTAAATCTTACAAAGAAAATGAGAGTTTTGAGTTAAACTTGTTCGAATTCCCTTTGACGTCTCAAAGAGGGTTTTAATGAGTAAAAATTGAATGTTTGATTGAAAACACATCAATTAAGGTATCTATTATGTCACTAGACCATTTATATGTATAAAGATTAAATATTCGAAAGAAAATGAGAGTTTTCTGTTAAATTTATTCGAGTAGCCTTTGATGACATGAAGAGTGTTTTTATGTGCAAAGATTGAATCTTCGAATAAAATTACCTCAATCAAGGTTCCTATTATGTCACTGGACCTTTCTAATATATAAAGATTATATTTTTGAAAGAAAATAAGAGTTTTAAGTTTAACTTATTTGAGTTCACTATGAAGTCGCGAAGAGTGTTTTAATGACTAAAGATGAAATATTTTAATGAAAATACCTCAATCAGGGTACCTATCATGTCACTAGACATTTTTAATGAATGAAGATTGAATCTTTGAAAGAAAATGAGAGTTTGGAGTTTAACATATTCGAGTTCCCTATGAAGTGGCGAAGAGAGTTTTAATGACTAAAGATTAAATCTTTGAATTGAAATAACTCAATCAAGGTATTTATTATGTCACTAAACCTTTTTAATAAATAAAGATTGAATCTTTGAAAGAAAATTAGAGTTTAAAGTTTAACTTATACGAGTTTCCTTTGACGTCACGAAAAGTATTTTAATGAGTAAAGATTGAATATTTGAATGAAAATACCTTAATCAAGGTACCAATTATGTCACTAGACCATTTTAATGTATAAAGAATAAATATATGAAAGAAAAAGAGAATTTTGAGTTAAACTTATTTGATTTCCCTTTGACGTCACGAAGAGTGTTTTAATGAGTAAAGATTGAATCTTTAAATGAAATTACCACAATCAAGGTACCTATTATATTATTAAACCTTTTTAATGTATAAAGATTAAATCTTTGAAAGAAAATGGGAAATTTGAGTTTAACTTATTGGAGTTCCCTACAAAGTTGCGAAAAGTATTTTAATGACTAAAGATTGAATCTTTGAATGAAAATAACACAATCAAGGTACCAATTCTATCTCTAGACCTTTTTAATGTATAAAGATTGAATCCTAATTTGAAAGAAAATGAGAGTTTTGAGTTGAACTTATTCAAGTTCCCTATGAAGTCCCGAAGAGTGTTCTAATGACAAATAATTGAATCTTTGAATGAAAATACCTTAATCAAGGTTCTTATATTGTCACTAGACCATTTTAATGTATAAATATTGAATCTTTGAATGAAAATAACACAATCAAGATACTTATTCTATCACTAGACCTTTTTAATGTATAAAGATTGAATATTTGAAAGAAAATTAGAGTTTTGAGTTTAACTTATTCGAGTTCCTTATGAAGTCGCGAAGAGTGTTCTAATAACAAATGATTAAATCTTCCAATGAAAATATCTTAATCTAGGTTCCCATAATGTCACTAGACCAATCTAATGTATAAAGATTGAATCTTTGAAAAAAAATGAGAGTTTTTAGTTAAACTTGTTTGAGTTCCCTTTGTTGTCTCGAAGAATTTATTTAATAGTAAAGATTGAATCTTTTCATGAAAATACCTCAATCATGGTACCTATTATGTCACCGGACCATTTTAATATATAAAGATTAAATCATTGAAAGATAATGAGAGTTTTGAGTTACACTTATTCGAGTTACCTTTGATGTCACGGAGAGTGTTTTAATGCGTAAAGATTGAATCTTTGAATGAAATTACCTCAATCAAGGTACCTATTATGTTATTGGACCTTTTTAATGTATAAAGATTTACTCTTTGATTTCAAATGAGAGTTTTGAGTTTAACTTATTCGAGTTCCCTATGAAGTTGCGAAGAGGGTTTTAATGACCACAGATTGAAACTTTGAATGAAAATACCTCAATCAAGGTACCAATTTTGTCACTAGACCTTTTTAATGAGTAAAGATTGAATCTTTAAAAGAAAATGAGAGTTTTGAGTTAAACTTATTCGAGTTCCCTTTTACATCATAAAATGTGTTTAAATGAGTAAATATTGAATATTTGAATGAAAATTCCTCACTCAAAGTACCTATTATGCCACTAGACCATTTTAATGTATAAAGATTAAATATTTGAACGAAAATGAGAGTTTTGAGTTAAACTTATTCGAGTTCCCTTTAACATCACGAAGAATGTTTTAATTAGTAAAGATTGAATATCTAAAAG